GTTAACAAGCGTATTCGGAGGTCTCAAAAACTTATTCTACCGAAAGTAATTTATTATTTTCAAAGTTCTTCTATATTACTATGATATGGTTAGGCCTTTTTGCCGTTGCGCCTTTCTATATTCGATTAATTACAGTCCTTTTTGCAGATAGCTACCCGTCAGTGTTTTCATCTATTTAAAAATTGTATTTATATTTTACCTCTTATTTATTTCAGTCAAACAGTTTCATTACATCTGTTTTCGTTAAAGAGATCGTTTTGATGGGCTGGGCACAATGTGTTTTCGTTCATAACTTTTTATCATACATTATTCTATTGGACTGATTATATGTATTACAATTGATTCGTGCGTTATTTTTACGTTTTATTATAGGTCACTTACTTCCTCTCCCCCTATCCAAGCTAACCAGCCGGCGGTTCCCTCATATCCTCCCAGCGTGTCAACTCGTCAGATCATGGTTGTCACACAACTTCTTTTTTGTCCTACATGCATATATTTCTCACTCTTGCTTTACCATTTTTTCGCATAAAGACAAGTTTTTCGGCTTATATCTATCTTGAGTAATCCCATTATTTGTGGCTTCTATTTGCATGTGAACCAGTATTTCTGTAGGTCTTATGCGGTAATACAAAAAAAATCCACCTGGCCTTAATTGTAACTAGTATTACAGCTTTAGATTCTTCCGTCAATGAGCCATGCTTTCGACATTTAAGGTGAGGGAACGTCCTAATTTATGGAGATCTTAAATATATTTTCTAGTCACTCGTCTAGAAGCTTATAGTAACAGCTAAGGACACCTTTACATGATAAGTTGAATTGCCATTAGTTCTCTGGAGAAGACATGAAGCTCAGGCAGTGGTATAATATGGCAAAGACTGAGTTGAATTTTATCTTTAAAAAGGCTAACGTATTTAATTTAAGAAAAACATAAAAAATCTCTTAATGGATTTATGTTGCAGTACCTTTCGCTTCGTTTGAAGACGCGAGAACAAGGCAAGAAAGTTCTTCATGCCTTTATGAATTGTCGTAAAACATAGTGTCCTACTCCAACTATGTCAGTTGCATGACAGACGAAAGCCCAACAAGGGATCGGAGTAGCGGGGCGTAGTTCTAATCGCAAAAATTTACGCTTACCGCTTTTGAAGTAACGCCTACCTTCAACTTCCGGTGAGGCCATCTTACGAATCCCTTCCACTAGCCTCTTCAAAGGAAATGAAATCGCTCCAACATCAAATTATTTTGTGTCTGCAATACTCACAATAATGAGCAAAGAATGGTACAACACTGTCTAGATTCTGGAATTCGTATCAAAGTTGGCTGCTGGACAATTTTTACCGCGATCTGCCCCTTAAAGCTGAAACGATTTTATCCTCTGTAATTTCCTACACTATATGGTGTTGAATTAATAATTCGGGTAAGCTCTTGGGCCAAATAGAATATACTTGTGCAACTTTAAGGAGCAGTTCGCTTTGCTGCAACATTAAATCCTGGTTAATTTTTTGTGAAGTCCCAGTCATCTGTCTTTAGGGTAGCTGGTCATTAGTAACATGTGAGCCGTGGCGGACAGGGGAAATGTACATTGGCTCAGCCCTTCGTTTATTATCAGTCTGTATTCAAAAGGCTGTCGAAAATATTAATTATAACTTTATAAACTTCTAGAACCAAAGAGATACAACTTGGGCTGTTTTACTTTAGTTGTTAGGTAGTGTGTTTTAGTAAATTCAAGCCTGTCATGCTCTAAAAATTAAAACTGTTCTTTCAATCTTTTTTTAGTCTGAACCTGAAAAGCCACAATCGGATATCGATAAAAATTTGGCTGTGATGTCTCAAGGCATGTCACGATTAAAGTCTTTGGCTTTGAGCTTAGACACAGAATTAAAGGCTCAAAATGAACAGCTAGATCGCATGGCGCCTAAGCTTGAAAAGGTTAATCAAACCACGGTATATCAGACAAATCAATTGAACACACTTCTTGGCAATAAAAAACAATCTGCATAATCTTTGCCTCAATCCGATTGTAAGGATCTTGTGATTCGGGCTTTCATCATGGGGCTACTCTGAACTAGCCTGTTGAACTATTGCATAATTTGTTCTTTCATCAATGGAACATCGAATTTACTTTAGCTTCACTTTTTCTGATAGGATCTGTCGAACTCTTACAATATGCTCCTTAATTTGATATTCTCTTGAATGGCTCTTCTCTAATCATTTTTGCGCTTGATATCTTGGTGAAATTGCTTGTGTTTTCAACCATTTTTCACTTATAATTGGCTTTATTTCAATTATCTGG